TGAGGGATCCTGGTCCTGGGGATAATATTGGGATGGCTTTAACGGAAGCATTGCACCAAGCCATTGAAACGGAACTCGACCGTGAGCAGCGACCCGCCCATCATTTTGTGAACTTTGCCATTACAGCGCACGGGTTCACCCACGCGTATCAAACCGCCAATTTCACCGTGGGGGAATTTTTGCAACGCACCGCTCGTTTGGATGAGATGTTGGCCACGTTGGCAGGCAAGTTGAATAGCAATGAAGCCTTCAACCCCGATCGCGGGTTCCAAGTGGATGTGGTGTTTGTCTCCATGCCTGGCCCGGGGTCCGGTCGACATAAACAACGCAATGTGGGACGTTTATGCCTGGATCGAGTCAACAAGAAAAAGAAATGCATCATCCCCATCCGAAACAGAGATACTTTATGTTGTGCTCGCGCCATTGTCACCATGCGAGCCCGCTGCCATAAAGATCAAGGCGTGGATGAACTTCGCCTATGGGATAGTTTAAAAAAAGGGTACCCGGTGCAACAACGTCAAGCCCAGGCATTCCATCAGCAAGCGGGAGTCGCTGAGGGTCCCTGTGGTTTACCCGAACTTCGCCAATTTCAACACGCGTTGGGGTCTCAATATCAACTCTTGGTGATGACCCGGATGAAACCGTTCTTTTTAATCTTCAAAGGTCCCACCGCCCCTCATCAGATTCGTTTACTCAAGTCTAATGATCATTTTGATGGCTGCACGTCTTTTCCCGCCTTTGTCAACCGCTCTTATTATTGCCTGGACTGTGAACGGGGGTTCAACACCAACGATCGAACCAATCACACTTGTCAAGGAAGACGCTGCTCTGCGTGTGGACGTTTTGATTGTCCGGATTATGTGCGTGGCACCCGCCCCACCGAGTATTGCAGTCTGTGTCACCGCAAGTTTTACGGTGGTCAATGCAAACGTTATCATGAAGTCAGTGAGCAATGTCAATCCATCAAAACTTGTCTCAAGTGTCAAGCCCAATACACGGTCGTCCGTAACCAACGTCACCTGTGCGGGTACGCCAAATGCCCCGCGTGTCAGGAATGGGTACCCATCCAGGACCATAAATGTTACATTCAACCCGTGGTGGAACACGAGGAGACTAAACCCACAGAGGAGGGGGGAGGTAGCATGGTGGCGCCACCCCCTCCCCTGTTTGTTTACGCGGATTTCGAAGCCATGCAGAATGCAGAAGGCGTGTTTGTGGCTAATTTGTTGTGTTATTCGTCCAGTGCCGAAACAACCATCCATGTATTGGACGGGGAGGACTGTGCCCTACAATTTTTGCGCGATTTGGATGATCTCACGGACGTTCCAGACTGTGAGGGCGAGCGGACGATACTCGTGGTGTTTCACAATTTGAAAGGGTTTGATGGCATGTTCATTCTCCATGAACTCTACCAGCAACAACGCGAGGTCGTGGATCAACTGACCGTGGGAGCCAAAGTCCTATCGTTCAGGAGTGGACCTATCAAATTCACTGACTCGTTGTGCTTCTTGCCTATGCCGCTGGCCTCCTTTTCCAGTACCTTTAATTTAACCGAATTAAAGAAGGGCTTCTTTCCTCATTTGTTCAATACCCCCGATCACCAACAGTATGTGGGTCGCATCCCCGATTTGGAGTTTTACGATCCTGACGGCATGATGGCCAAAAAGAAAGACGAACTGACTCGTTGGCACGCCGATCAAGTCCGTCGTCATGTCACGTTCAATTTCAAGCAAGAAATGATTGAGTATTGCAAATCCGATGTGGCTCTATTGAAAGCTGGGTGTGAAGCCTTTCAACAAGAATTTGAACAACAGGCTGGCTTCAACCCTATGGCCAAGTGTATCACCATCGCCAGTGCCTGCAATCTGTATTGGCGCAAGCATCATTTGACCCCCGACACCATTGCGGTGGAACCTCTCGGAGGGTGGCGAGGGGCCCAAGTCAACCAATCCCTCAAAGCCCTCCAATGGCTCTACTACCAGGAACACCTCCTTCCCAAAGAGGGGGCCAGTGCTGACCGCATTCGTCACGTTCGTAACGGGGGCGAACAGTCGGTCCGAACCAGCGTCGACAGTCATTTCGTCGATGGCTACGATCCTGTGACTCGCACCGTCTACGAGTTCCACGGATGTCTCTACCATGGCTGTCCCCGCTGTTATCCCGCGAGAAACGCCAAACATTATGCCACGCCGGATCGAACTGTGGAGGAACTCTATCAAGCCACGCTTTCCAAACGCATGGCCTTGCTCCGAGCGGGTTATACGGTCATTGAAATGTGGGAATGTGAATGGGACCAACTAGTGGACACCGATGAAGCCGTCCAATGTTTTCTGACTTCCTTCGATCTGGTGGCACCCCTAGAACCCCGCAAAGCCTTCTTTGGGGGTCGAACGGGTGCCGTGGCTCTGCATGCTGTGGCTGGAGAGGGCGAGGAAATACGCTATGTGGATGTGACCTCCCTGTACCCGTGGGTGAATAAGAACTGTCCCTACCCTATTGGACATCCGCGGATCATCACGCAGCCCGCTGACCAGTCCCTGGAGTCCTATTTTGGTCTAGCCACCGTCGATATTCTTCCTCCCGCTGGTTTGTTCCACCCTGTTCTGCCCGTGCGCAGCGGCAACAAGCTCGCGTTTCCTCTCTGCCGCGCCTGTGTTCAGTCAGAGCAGGCCCAACCCATGTTGACCCGAACCCGCTATTGCCCTCATTCCGATGCGGATCGCACACTACGCGGCACCTGGTGCACACCCGAATTGGTCAAAGCCGTCGAAAAGGGGTACACACTGATCAAGATCCACGAAGTCTGGCATTTTCCCCCTGAGCAACGCCAAACGGGTCTTTTTGCTGATTACGTGAACACGTGGCTCAAGTTGAAACAAGAATCCGCGGGGTGGCCCAGCTGGTGTCAGACCCTCGAGCAGAAACGCAACTACATTCTTCGTTACCAGGAACGGGAAGGTATCCGACTGGACATTGCCAGTATTGTCAAAAATCCCGGTCGCAAAGCCACGGCCAAGCTCATGCTGAACAGCTTCTGGGGCAAATTCGGGGAGCGGATCAACAAACCCACCACCGTCACTGTCAAAGACCCCGCCCATTTGTTCGGTCTCATCTCTGATGCTACCCTCGATCTCAGCACGCTCCGCCTTTGCACGGACGATATCTTGGAAGCCGTCTACACCAGTGTCCAAGACAATGCTGTCAAAGGCACCAAGACCAACATTTTCGTAGCCGCTTTCACCACCTGTCATGCTCGATTGAAGCTGTACGAGTCCCTGGACACCCTTCAACAGCAAGTCCTCTATTATGACACAGACAGTGTGGTGTACAAGTGGCGTCCCGGTCAACCCAGCATTGCCACCGGGGATTTTTTGGGGGACATGACCGACGAATTAGACGGAGATGTCATCACCGAGTTTGTTTCGGGGGGCGCCAAGAATTATGGGTACCAGACCCGTGGAGGCAAAGTGGTGTGCAAGGTACGCGGTTTCACCTTAAACGTCCGTGGATCGGCCATTCTCAATTTTCAGACCATGAAAGAGAACATTGTTTCCGAACTAGATTCGCCCCAGGACTCTCGCCGAAATTTGAACATTACCAACCCTTATTATTTCAAACGAGATTTAGAGGAAAAACAAATTCAAGTGGTTCCGCGCGTGAAGCAGTATGGGTTGGTGTTTGACAAGCGCGTCATTGATGTCGCCACCCGATCCAGTTATCCCTATGGCTACGAGAGAATTGGACATGAACTCGACCTGCTATTAGATTTGTAATGGGCGTGACGTCAATTGGGCGTCACATACGTCCCGCTTGTACCCAGGGCTTCACGCGGTCAATAAAACTATGTAAAGAATGTGGATTCAACTCTTGTGTGCGTGTGTTCTTTATTCCTATGGGTCACGTGGACAAAACCACTAGATTGTGACGTCAAAAAAGTCACATGGGCGAAATGCGCGATTCTGATTGGTCGAGACCAAATCTGCTGCGCTCTGATTGGTTACCGATTTTTGTAGCCATCATGACTACTTAGGAGTTA